TTAAATTGAAAAACTCACTAGTGGCTGGCCGTGGTAGACAAATCCTTGCATGCCATTAAGTGCTGCTGTTGCTGCAGTTTCGTCTTTGAAGACAATCCAGGCCTGGCCTCTGCAGCAAAATAAATAAATAAATAATAAATAAATAAATAAATAAATAAATAAATAAATAAATAAATAAATAATAATTCAATTTAATTGTTTTAATTGGTTCTTTTGTTGGTTTTAAATGCAAGTTCGCAAGTCGATGATTCAACGGGATGCGCGAACAGCACAAAAGCTGCTGCTGCTGCTGCTGTTGCTGCTGCTGCTGCTGCTGCTGTGCTGCAGCTGCTGCTGCTGCTGTGCTGCAGCTGTTGCTGCTGCTGTGCTGCTGCTGTTGTGCTGCTGCAGCTGCGCTCTTGCTGCAGCGCGGCTCAATAAAAAAGCAACAGCTAGCAGCAAACAATTAATATTTAGTATTAATTATTATTTTTATTTATTTACTTATTTTAATTAATTAATTAATTAATTTATTTATTTATTTATTTTTATTTTATTTTTATTTCCCACCTTCTCCAGAAAGAGCCCATGGCCACAATTTGCCGAATTTCTCCGAACTGTTTAAACATGGACTTCAAGTTTTCCTTCAACTCTGCAAACAAATAAAAATAAAAATAAATAAATAAATGAATAAATAAATAAATAAATAAATAAATAAATAAATAAATCAATAAATAAATAAAACAAGTATCATTTTAAATCAAAATAAATCCACAAAAACAACCCAAAAACAAATAAACCAGCAAATACCCTCAACAACCCTTTAAGGGGCCCCCTGGGGCCCCTAGAGGCCCCCTGGGGGCCCCCCAGGGGCCCCCTGAGGGTACCCTGGAGGCCCTGGGGGCCCCTAAGACCTTCAGGGGGCAGGGGGCCCCCCATGAAGAGCCCTAGGGGCCCAAAGGGGCCCCTGCGGGTCCCCCAAAGTACCCTTATAAAGACCCGCTTAAAGCCCCCACAAACACCCCCAGGAAGCTCCTTTGGGGCCCCCAAAGGGCCCCTTAGGGGCCCCTTGGGGGCCCCTCTAGGGCCCCCCTAGGGGCCCCTTGGGGGCCCCTTCAGGGCCCCTTGGGGGCCCCTCTAGGGCCCCCGTAGGGGCCCCATGGGGGCCCCTCTAGGGCCCTTCTTTGTTCCCCTTGGGGCCCCTCCGGGGCCCCCAGCTCTCCCCAAAGCGCCGCAGAGGCCCCCAAGGCCCCCCAGACCCCCGCCCCCAGCAGCAGCAGCAGCAGCAGCAGCAGCAGCAGCAGCAGCAGCAGCAGCAGCAGCTCACCGCGGAGTTTGACTCGATCATTAATGTTCGAAACATAAATAGTGCAGTTAGGGGGAATCGAACCATCCACTGCTTTCGGCTGGAGGTACTTCAGCCGCTTTAAGTTCACTGCAGTCATTCCCACTGCGGCCATTTCGGGGGCCACGGGGCCCCACGCGGCTCCGGGGCCCCCCAGGGGGGCCCCCAGGGGGCCCCCCAGGGGGGCCCCCAGGGGGGCCCCCAGGGGGGCCCCCAGGGGGGCCCCCAGGGGGGCCCCCAGCGGGGGCCCCAGCGGGGCCCCGGAGGCTCCGCCCAGCGACGGGGGGGCCCCCATCGAGGGGGCCCCCAGCGGACCCGCGAAGCCTCCCATGCCCCCGGGGGCCCCGTATGGGGGGCCCCCCATCCCCATCCCGGGGGAGGGGCCCCCGGGCAGCCGGCCCCCAAAGGGTACAGCCCCCATGGGGGCCCCCGGGGGGCCCCGCGACGCGGGGCCCCCGGGGGGGCCCCCGGGAGGGCCCCCGGGGGGGCCCCCCGCAGGACCCCCAGGGGGGCCCCCAGGGGGGCCCCCAGGGGGGGCCCCCATCATGGAACCGCCCCCGTCCTGCTGCGGGGGAGGCCGCCAGCCAGGGGCCCCCGGGCGCTGGCCTGAGGGCCCCGGGCCATAGGGTACAGAAGGGGGCCCCGACATTGGCTGGGAGGGGGGCCTCGGAAAAGACAAAAGGAAAAGAAAGGGTAATTGGAGGAGCAACAGCTGCTGCTGCTGCAAAGGCTGCTGCTGCTGCTGCTGCTGCTGCAGCTGAGGCTTCGAACGAGTCGCGCTGCGTTGACAGGCAGCAAGAGCAGCACCAGGGAGAACGGCAGCAGCTGCTGCTTCTGCTGCTGCTGCTGCTGCTGCTGCAACAACTGACGGAATGCGCAAAAAGCCCCAAAAGACAAGATCTAGGACAAGGCCTCAGCAGCAAACCGCAGCAGCCCAGTCCGGCGCAGCCCAGCAGCAGCAGCCGCAGCAGCAGCAGCAGCAGCAGCAGCCGCTGCTGCTGCTGCTGCTGCTGCTGCTGCTGCTGCAGAGCATGCGCGCAAGGCTGCAGCTGGCGAAGTTTCTCGGCCTACTTCGTCGGAAAAGCAAATAAATAATTAATGAGTGCAGTTGAAGTTCGTTTCCGTTTTCTTGGGACTCTGTGGAGTCCGGGTGTACGTACACCTGAGCTCCGGCGCGGAGCCAGCGGCCCGCCGGCGCCTCTGCGGGCTCTTTTTGGATTTATATTTCGCATTTTAAAAATAGAATAATTAATTTGAATTGATTTTGTTTTTCAATGGAACTTCGGGCGCGAAGTCGGGCGGCGGAGCGCTGAGGTGTACGTACACCCGAGCCGCAGAGGCGACGCGCGCAGCAGCAGCAGCCGCGCGCGAGGCGAAGAGCCGCATTTGAAGATGAATAATTGAATTAAAAGTATATTTGGAATTAAAAATGGAAATAAAAGAAAGCAGCAGCTTTATTTTGCTGCTGCAGCAGCTCTGGAGCTGCTGCATAGCGCCTCCTGCTGCCTGGGGCGCCGGCCAGGGCTACTACCCTTTTTGTTTTTCGTTTTTCTTTCTTTCTTTTTCTGCTTTTCTTTGGCGCCGTTTTGCTGCTGCAAGGCATTTAGAAAAGCCCATTTTGCTGCTCATTCCGCAGCAGCAAGCAGCAGCAGTTCGCAGCCAGCTCAGGGGCTGCAGGGCCCTCGTCGCAGCGCACACGCCAGCAGCAGCAGCAGCAGCAGCAGCAGCAGCAGCAGAAGACGTTGCAGCAGCAGCAGCAGCCATTGCGGAGGAGGAACGCCTGCAGGTCAACTGCCCCGTCTGCAGCGCAGCAATCAAAGCAGCAGCAGCAGCAGCAGCAGCAGCAAAGGAAGAACCAGCAGCCCGCGCCACCGCCGCACCGCGAAAAACACCAGCAGCAGCAGCAGCAGCAGCAGCAGCAGCAGCAGCAGCAGCAGCAGCAGAGTGTCCGGTTTTGAAGTCTGCTGCTCGCCAACTCGCAGCTGCTCGCAACAGAAGCCTCGGCTTTTACCATTCTCTCCTCATTTCTCTTTTGTCTCTTCTTTGCATTTTCTTCGACGAAAAAGTTTACTCAAATAAAATCCAAGGAACTTCCCTCCTCTCCACCACCATAGGTTAGGCCAAAACCCTTACAAAACGGGGCCCCCAGGGGGCCCCCCTGGGGGCCCCCAGGGGGCCCCCCGAGGGGGCCCCCAGGGGGGCCCCGAGGGGGCCCCCAGGGGCCTCGGGGGGCCCCCAGGGGCCTCGGGGGGCCCCCAGGGGGGCCCCCGAGGGGGCCCTCAGGGGCCTCGGGGGGCCCCAGGGGGCCCCCGGGGGGCCTTCAGGGGCCTCGGGGGCTCTTCGGGGGCCCCCAGGAGCCCTTGGAGGGGCCCCCTGGGGCCCCCCCGCTAGGCTGCTGCTGCTGCTGCTGCTGTTGCTGCTGCTGCTGCTGCTGCTGCCTCCGAGCCGTAAATTGGTCAGATTGGAATTGTTGAAATGTTCGAAGCCCTTTGGCTCAAAGAAAGCACTTCGGACTTCAAAAAAAAACTAAATTAAATCAAACTAATTTAATTAATTAATTAATTAATTAATTAATTAATTAATTAATTAATTCTTTTGTTTATTCAGGACTAATAGCCGGAGGGTACTTCCTGTGGGACTTGTCAGTAGTGGTCCAGGAGTGGGGCCCCCAGGGGCCCCAGTGGCTGTTGCATGCAGTGTTATCGTTTTCGAGTGTATGTACACCCTACGTGTACCCCTCGGGGGCCCCCCTGAGCTTCTACACTTGTTGTTTACTTCTCTTTGAACTTAGTACCCCTTTTTGGACTTTAAGGTACTTTATTTTCAAGGGGGGGGGGCCCCGGGGGCCCCCGGCCGCTGCATGCACTGGCTCTTTGTACTAGCCTTCTGTGGGGCCCGCCTGGCCTACGGCTGCTGCTGCCTTTTTCCCGAGCTCTGGGGGGCCCTCGAGGGGGGCCCCCCCGGGGGGCCCCCCGGGGGCCCCCCAGGGGGGCCCCCCGGGGGGCCCCTGGTGGGGGCCCCTCGCAGGGCCCTTTACCGCGCCTCCATGCTGCTCTTCGGGGCCCTCCAGGTCCTCTGGCTGCTCAAGCTCCTTTGCTGCAGCCGCAGCAGCAGCAGCAGCAGCTGCAGCAGCAGCAGCTGCAGCAGCAGCAGCAGCAGCAGCGCGAAAATCAAGCCTTAGGCTGCGGCCAATCTGGACTTTTTCTCTTTCTAAAACTTTTCGTCAGAGTCCAAATAACAACAACCCCACCACTGACACGCAAACAAACCCGCAAATAGACCCACAGGCCTAAACAAAAAAGCCCCAAGGGGGCCTGCATGCATGCAGCTCTGCATGCATGCATGCAGCTCTGCATGCATGCATGCAGCTCTGCATGCATGCATGCAGCTCTGCATGCATGCAGAGCTGCGTGCGCGCATGCAAGCGGCTTTGGGGCTTTGCCGTGAGCCGCTGCGCCGCGGGGCATCTAGGGTTTAGGGTTTAGGGTTTAGGGTTTAGGGTTTGCGAGTTGCGCGAAAACCCTCGCGGCTTGCTGCCCCGCCTCCACCGCCTCCCCCACCGCAACCCCACTCACCCACCCCCCCTCCAGCAGCAGCAAACTAAAAGGGTACCGCTGCTGCTGCTGCTGCAGCAGCTCTTTTTCCACAGCCCCGCATGCAGCACTCCACCCCCCCC